TATTATTCTAAAACGTCAAAAGGGCGAATAAAAAACTATGCTTTAGTTTTTTGTGATTTTACTTTTATTTTGTTGGTATTTAAATTTATAGTAAATATATTTAGTTTGTTTTAGGTTTATTTCTAGTAAGATATAAATATATATTAAAGTAATGGCATAAAAGTATATACTATATAGGAAAAAAAATATACGCGAAACAGGCGGTTTAAAACCGGACCAAAATGTTAGGTTTATGTTTGAGTTTTTTTAAATCGGTCAAAACGGTTTGGTTTGAAAATTTGTCAAAAACTGTAAAAATCGGACCGCTTACACCCCTAGTGGATGGCAGCAAAGATGAGAAGCTTCCATTGATCATCAATTATGAGAGAGCTGCTGTCGTACGTGACATTGTCAGATGCAGACGAAAAGATCAACAATAAACTGACTATCATTTGACAAAGCAGTGATGTCATTGTCACGTTGAGGATCTGAAGGCACTTAGTGCTAGATATTGAGTTTTGATTGTTGGCAATGGTGATGGAGGATCTCAAAGCCCCCGATTGTGGCGTGCGACGTTATGTGTCGAGCTACTACTGCGAAACTAGGGGGTGCTGCCAATCGAGGGTGTAATTTCCTCCATTTTTCTTCATGGTCAATGCTGCAAATCGTATGTGTTGCTTGTCTCCCATTTTTTCTCATCACATGTGGCCGATTTTACAGATCAGCCGGAGAAGAGATGATAGGGGATGGTTGTGGATGGGATGAGATGAGGTGGGGTGTTTGTGACCAATAATTTTGTTGATTGTCACCAATAATTTGGTTAATTGTTACCAATAAATAATATGTCATCTAAAAATTGTGAATGTGACTCACAATTTATTAAGTTGTGACTGGGAAATTAATTGTGATCAATTAATTTGATAATATGCAACGAATAAATGAGTTGTAACCAATAATTTTTTTTATTTTTGATCGATGATTAATCTGTGACCTATAAAAATTTTGAATTGTGATAGATAAATAAGTTGTGACCAATAATTTAATAAGATGTGACCGACAATTAATTTATGATTAATTAATTAGATATTTTATTACCATAAATTAAGTTGTGACATGTAAAATTTGTGATATGTGACTAATAAATAATGTGACCTATAAAAAGTTTTATTTGTGATCGTGAAATAATTTGTGACTTGTAAATTTTTTAATTGTGACGATAAATAATTTGTGACCAAACTATATAAAATTGTGACCTTAATATATTTAGTTAATAAAATATATGTTTAATAAATTAGTTTATAAATAAAATTTTAAAAAATTTAATTTTTGAAATTTTAAACTTTTTTTCTCAATTTTGAAATGTGTTATGCTTAATCTCGTGTAAAAAAATTTCCCTTTCTTAAATTGCATTGTCAACGTATGGTTGTGATTTTTTTTTAAAAAATTTAATCAGATTCAACCTGAATTGGAGCAATGTCTAAACCAACCAACCAACCCCCCACCCCACCCCAACCCAACCCAACCCAACCCAACCCAAATCGACCCAAGCTTTATCGGTTTGGATTGGGTTTGATTGATTTTAGATCAAACCGATTATTTTGAGTTGGGTTTAGATTTGATAAGTGGAAATTACATGGATCCCTACTTTTCAAGATCCAACTTCAAAAATAAGATTTTAAGTTTTAATGTTCAAAAATCAGATATTTTATATATAGATACAAATTTTTATATTTAATTAAATATTATAAAATTAAATTAACATTTGTACCCACCCTACTACCTACCCCCACCAAATTTATATAAAACCTAAATCTATCCAAACTCTAACCTAATCCAATTCATTCCTCTCCTCTCTTCCCCGTCCCCGTTGCTGTCGCCACCTCCACCTCTCTCCACAGTCGCCGGTGCCGGCGCCGCCTCCTCCTCCTTACCTCCCTTCTTCCCCCCCTCCCCCCTAGGTTGCGACGCTGCTGCCTATGAACGGCAGCAGCGTCGGCAGCTACTGCTACACCCACAGCAGCGTCGCGCGACGCTGCTGTGGTCGCGATGGACTCTGCAAAATTCGAGGCGGTGGCACGACAGGCAGAGGCTGTGGACT